CTCCGACCCCCCCAACGACTCCTGCGTCTGCTTCGACGACGGCTCCTGCTTCAACCCGCCTAAGCCGCCGCCGCCGCCGCCGCCGTCGCCTCCGCCCCTCCCGCCGCCATCGCCGTCGCCGCCGCCGCCGCCGCCGCCGCCGCCGCCGCCGAGCCCGCCGCCGCCGCCGCCGCCGAGCCCGCCGCCCGCAGGCCCAAGCCCTCCGCCCCAATTCAATGTCCTCGGCAGCCAAAGCAGGGTTGGCATGGAGGAGGACTCGCTGTCGACGGGCGCCGTGGTCTCGATCTCCCTCACCTCGATCATCATCGCAATCCTCCTCCTCGTCGCCCTCACCTGCTTCTGCCGCTTCTCTCCGCTGGCCGCTTCCTCTGCCGCCGGCGCGACTCCGAGCAAGAGCAGCAAGGGCGGCAGCAAGGGCGGCAGCAAGGGCGGCAGCGAGGCCGACGCCGACCTGACGTCAGTCAGTCAGCGACGTCCCAATCCTCCCCCTGCGCCTCCTGTGATGCCGGTCTTCCCTCCCCGCGGGCCGCTGCCCTCTCTGCCCGGCCCAGGTGCCAGCCTCTGACCCGCCCCTGCCGCCCCACGCCCCGACAGAGGGCGCAGCAGCCCGTCGAGTACGGGCGCAACTACCCGTACGCGGGGCCCTCCAAGGGTGGCGACATGACGAGCGACCCGCCGAGCCGCGCCTGCGACGACGTGCCGCCGCCCGAGGCCGAGGACCTCAACCAAGGCTTTGGAGTAGAGCGGGACAGAGGCACGCCCGCGCCACCCCGATCCCACTGACCCTTCCCGCTGTGCTTTTGATCATAGGTTCTTGGATGGAGTGGGCAAAGGGGTTGATGCGCACGCCCGCAGCGAAAGCGGACACGCCTCTCGCAGAAGGCGGTTTCGCGCCCTGCGAGATCGAGCGCATCTGACGGACAGCGCTCAGTCTGACCGCTTGATGACCGTGCGGCGCCGTCACGGCCTGTGGCTGTAAAGTGCTCCTCGGGCGCACCGCGAGGCGCGGGGTACCGCGTGCGGAGTGGGTGTAGACGCACAGCATCACGTGACGCTTGAGATATGTGGGAGGGGCGACCCCGGGATATCGTTGCATATATCCGACACACTTGCGAAAGATGGTGTCCTCCCGCCAACGGCCAACCCGGGGTGTGCGTCTGCGAGTGCGTGCTCTGTGCTTGGCTCGGTCCTCGGATTTTTTTCGAGATTCGACATGCAACATGATGGCTAGTGCCATTTCACTCTGACACGCTAATCTTGAAAACGTCTCCAACGGAGCTCCGTGTTGCTTCCAGCGCCCTCCCCCGCGCTTCCTGCGGCCATGGCCGATGATCCTAGGAAGAGAGGTCATCTGGCTACCGCGAGAGCGACCCAACTCGTCGACATCGTCCGATGATGGTGCCGCAAAGTCAGCCTTCGGAGGCTATCGTGGGGTGGAGCCGGCAGTAGCCGTGACATGTGGTTCCACCACCCCTCGTAGGCTTTGCCTCTGACCGCCACCGTTCCCAGGCTGCCTACTGGGATGGAAAGGAAGGCTCGGCGAGCGTATAGAAGCGTGCTCGACCTCGTCGTGGCAACCTGTACGGCAGCGCTGGTAGGCGCGATGAGCGTCGTGCCACCTGACCCGAGACAGGTCGCAGGCGTCGTACCGAGCGCGTCGAGACCGTGTCCTGATGTGGTCTGCACGGGTGAGTCACGTCGGCGTCAAAGGAGCGACGTGTGACCTGTCAGAGCTTGATCTCTGATCTCAGCGGCGTCGAGTCGTCTCCGGCGCGCAACAAATGTACCTCCCCAGGACGCGCAGAGGCAGCTGCGACCCCGCCGAGTAGACGGCGGCACACCGCGCCACCTGCTGTGTGCCGCCGTCTACTCGGCGAGGTCGCAGCTTCCACTGGAAGGCACCGAGAGGTACATTTTTCGCGCAATGGTCAAAATCAAGGTTTTGTAACGCGGGCTGTGCCACAGTGAAATGGCACTAGCCGATACGGCTTTGCATGCACATGTACATGTGCATGTGTTCAAAGAAAGAAAGAAAACAGACAACCCAAGTTCCAGGGACCCAAGTGCCAAGAGCCGAAGAGGGAGGGAGGGAGATGCTTGGGAGGACTTAAACATGTGCATGTGCATGTGGCATGTAGTGCCAGCGCTGTAGAATTCTTTCCCCCGAGCAGATTGTGAATGAGCTTGCCTGCGGCGAGGGCGGTCGAGTGCACGGACAAAGTGCCTCGCCGTCCTCGCGGGAGTCGCTTAGGCGGCTCCCGTGGTGTAACCTGTGTTAGTGCCAGTGCGCGCCAGTCCCGTGCCCAGTGTAAGAAAGAAAGAAAACAGACAACCCAAGGGAGGGATGGGAGGACGGCACGCCGCCACCACACAGGGATTTTAAGGAGAGGAGTGTGGTGCTAGCCGTCGCCCACCCTAACCCTTGGTCGTCTGCCTCTTTCTATCTCCCTTCGCAGTCCCTCGCCGATTCTCGCTGCAACCTTCATGGATCATGCCACCTCTCGGTCGTCCCACTCTCGTCGTTCTGATCTCCCTCCTGTCGCTTCCTCCTCTGTCGCGTCGCTCTCGTCTGCCTCATCCTGCGACGCCGCCGCCGCCTGCCGATCCCTTGCTCTCGCGGCTTCTCCCGCCTTTCGGCGCAACTCTGCCCTCCTCGCGGCATATTTTGCCCCCTCGAGTTTATCGAGCTCTCCTCGCGCAAGGACGACTCTTCTGACGCCCACTGCGATCATTTGCCGCAAGTCATATCGTTGCTCAGGTCCACTCTCTCTTCGAACACTTGGACCTCCACGGATGATGCTGGCGCTGGGGTCCCCTTCGGGTGCATCGTTACAGCTGACAACGGGATTACCACTGGTTCGTCCTCCTCGGAGTTCTTCCCCGGAGTCGTCTTCCCCGTGCGCCTGAGCGCGTCTGCCGGCTGAAAGTCGCCGCGAGGAGGCGCGGCACCATGGTTCTGGTCGCTGCACGCGGGCACGTCGACCATCGACACGCTGCTCAGCAGCGAGGAGGGCTTCACCCTCGAGCAGCTGCTCGACGAGGACGATTTGCTGCAGGAGTGCAAGTCGCAAAACACAACGCGGCGGAGCACTTGGACCACTTGGAGTGCAGTCATCAACCTCACATCCAGGGCCAGGGAGCTAAGAAGCGCACCCAGCGGGCCGGATGATTGGCATCGGGTTGCGGGCAAGAGAGCCCTGAGCCAGCAGCACAGAATTCTTTTCCCGGAGCCGACGTCGAGCGGGCACGCGGCTTCCGCCCAGCCAGCGCTCCTCTCCTCTGTCGCGCCGCGCGCCGGCCGTTCGCACGATGGACGGCTTCGACGATTCGCTCTTCAGCGCCTTTGAAAGCGCCCCCTCAGCAAAGGTCAGCAGCGGCCTCGCGCTCGACGAGCCGCTCTTGAAGCGGCCGGCAGGAGCAGCAGCTGAGGCCGAGGACGCCGCAGCAAAGGGAAAGCGGCTTCGGGGCGCGCCGGCCGACGCCGAGAAGGACGATGCTGCGCCCGCGCTCGACCCTGGCACCGGTCGGAAGGCGTGCAAGCACGAGGTCGCGATGCCTCCGGGCCTGACAGCGAGCAGCGAGATGGTGCGGCTGCCAAAGAGCACGCAGCCGCCGGCGCGCGAGTACTCGTTCGAGCTCGACCCGTTCCAGCAGGCTGCCGTCAACTGCATAGATCGTGAGGAGTCGGTCCTCGTCTCTGCGCACACCTCTGCCGGAAAGACGGTCTGTGCCGAGTATGCGATCGCCGTGTCGCTGCGCGACAAGCAACGGGTGATCTACACGTCGCCGATCAAGGCGCTGTCGAACCAAAAGTACCGCGAGCTCTCCGAGACGTTTGGCGACGTCGGGCTCATGACCGGCGACTACACGATCAACGTCGACGCCTCGTGCCTCGTCATGACGACCGAGATTCTGCGCTCGATGCTGTACCGCGGCTCCGAGGTGATGCGCGAGGTCAAGTGGGTCATCTTCGACGAGGTGCACTACATGCGCGACAAGGAGCGCGGCGTGGTGTGGGAAGAGGTCATGATCCTGCTGCCGCACTCGGTGAGGTACGTCTTTCTCTCGGCGACCATCCCTAACGCGCTGCAGTTTGCACAGTGGATCGCCGCGCTCCACTCGCAGCCCTGCCACGTCGTCTACACAGACTACCGGCCGACGCCCCTCCACCACTACATGTTCGGCGCCGGCGCGAACGGCTTCCACCTCGTCGTCGACGAAAACTCGGAGTTCAAGCCCTCCGGCTTCGAGAAGGCCACCGCGAAGCTGAGCGGCGGCGGCGGCGGGCGCGGCGGCGGCAAGGGCGGCAAGGGCGGCGGCAAGGGCGGCGGCAAGGGCGGCGGGAAGGGTGGGCGTGAGAAGGGCCCGTCGGACTGCTTCAAGCTGGTGCGGACTGTGGTGTCGATGGGAATGGAGCCGCTGATCGTCTTTGCCTTCGGCAAGCGCAAGGTGGAGAAGCTGGCGGAGGAGATGGGCACGCTCGAGCTGACTGTCCACACCGAGCGGGAGTCAATCACGCAGATCTACGAAAACGCCATCCAGACGCTGTCGGACGACGACCAGGTGCTGCCGCAGGTCGAGAAGATGCTGCCGCTGCTCCAGCGGGGCATCGCCGTCCACCACTCGGGGCTCCTGCCGCTGCTCAAGGAGCTCGTCGAGATCCTCTTCCAGGAGGGGCTCGTCAAGCTCCTCTTCGCGACCGAGACCTTCGCCATGGGCCTCAACATGCCCGCCAAGACCGTCATCTTCGCCGAGCTGTCCAAGTTCGACGGCGCCGCCTTCCGGCGCGCCCCGCCGCCCAGTGGACACACCCCGCACGCGAGCCCGCCCGCGTGAGGCCGAGGCGCGTGAGGCCGAGGCGCGTGAGGCCGAGGCGCGTGAGGCCGAGGCGCGTGAGGCCGAGGCGCGTGTCTGCAGGTACCTCTCCTCGGGCGAGTACATCCAGATGAGCGGCCGCGCGGGCCGGCGGGGGCTCGACGCGCGAGGGACGGTCGTGACGATGGTCGACGGCTCGACCGACTTGGCAAAGGTGCGGGAGATGCTTCGAGGCGAGGCGGACTCGCTCTCCTCGCGCTTCCACCTCTCGTACAACATGCTGCTCAACTGCGTCCGCACCGAGACGGCAAACATCGAGAACCTGATCGCAAAGTCCTTCTACACCTTCCAGCTGCAGCAGGCGAAGCCCGACCTGGAGAGGCGGCAGCGCGAGCTCTCGGCGCAGCTCGCCTCGCCCGACCTCGCCGTGGACGCGAGGCTGCTCGAGGTTCACGCTCTGCGCGCGCAGGAGCGCTCGCTGCGCAAGCAGCTGCGGCCGCTTCTCACGGATCCAAAGGACACCAAGGCGGTGCACTTTCTGCAGCCCGGCCGCCTGGTCCGGTTTGCTCGCGAGGGAGGGGCCGGCGAGGAGGGCGAGGCGCGCGAGTGGGGATGGGGGGCCATCGTGAGCTACAAGCGGCTCAGGCCCGACAAGAAGGAGGGCAAGAGGGGAGGCGACGATCTCGGCACGGCGGACCAATACCACATCGACGTGCTGCTGCGGTGCGACGCGGGCGCCGAGGCCGCCGTCGAGGCGGGCGGCGAGCCGGCGCCCGCGCGCGACGAGGAGAGCGCGGAGCTGCACGTGCTGACGCTGACGCTCGACCGCGTCGACGCCTTCTCGAAGGTGAAGGTCTCTCTCCCGAAGGACCTCCGCTCCAGCGACGGGCGGCACGCGGTGCTCAAGGTGCTAATTAAATAATAATATGATTAAATAATAATCTAATTAAATAATAACGGGCGGCACGCGGTGCTCAAGGTGCTTCGCGAGGTGGAGAGGCGCTTCGCCGACGGCGTGCCCGAGCTGCAGCACGACGAGGACCTCAAGGTGACCACGGCGGCACAGGAGGCGGCCAAGCTCGCACGCAGGCGCGCGGGTGACGAGCGGCGGCGGTACGGCGACGGCCTCTTGCGACTTCCTCTGAGCCCGCGCGCGCGCCCCCCGCTGCGCCTCAGGCTCGAGGGTGTGCAGGAGCGGCTCGGCGGGGTGAGCTTGGGCGAGGAGGAGATCGCGGCGGGGCTTGCGGTCTTGCGGCTGCGCCGCGCCGCGGAGGAGGAGGAGAAGCGTGTCAAGCGGCAGATCCGCGAGGGGCAGGTGGCGCTGATGAAGGAGGAGCTGCGGGGCATGCGCCGCGTGCTGCGCCGGCTCGGCCACCTCTCTGAGGACGGCGTCATCGGCAACAAGGGGCGGGTGGCGTGCGAGGTGAGCACCTCGGACGAGCTGCTTGTGACCGAGCTCGTGTTCGCGGGCCTCTTCCAGGACCTCGATCCCGCGCAGCTGGCCGCGCTCCTGTCGTGCCTCGTGGCGGAGCACGGGTTCGGCGGCAGCGGCGGCAAGGGCAAGGACGGCAAGAAGGAGGACCCGGTGGCGATGATCCGCACGCGCGAGATGCGCGAGCCGGTCGAGCGGATGCGCGAGCTGGCCAAGCGCGTGGCGACCGTCGTGCTCGAGGCGAAGCTGCCGGTGGATGTGGACGAGTACATTGCGCGCTTCGCCACCGGCCTGGTCGACCTCGTCTTTGACTGGTGTGGCGGCGCAAAGTTCGCCGACCTCTGCAAAATGACCGACGCGTACGAGGGCTCGATCATCCGGGCGATGCATCGGCTCGAGGAGCTGCTGCGCCAGATCATCGACGCCGCAAAGGTGGTCGGCAACGAGGAGCTGCAGGCCAAGTGCGAGGCGGCGCAAAAGCTCCTCGTGCGCGACGTGGTCTTCTGCCCCAGCCTGTACACGTGACAGCCCCTATCTTGCGTCTTAGAAGATTTTTTAAGCGGCCGAGAGCAGAGGAAAGCGAAAGGCCAAATGCTTTGCACGCGCGAGACGGGGGCCTCCGATTCGTTCTCGTTGGCGCGCAGGAGGGGGCACCTGGGCTGGGCCTGTGTGCGCTGTGGCGCGCCGCGCAGAATCCTTTCTCACGTGGCTCGTGGAGGGCGACGGCTTCTGAGGAAGCCGTCGCCCGCGCCTTGTCTGTCGTGTGAATGTCGCGCACTCATTCATGACCGGTCTCAATGTCCCACCCCGCTGTCTGTCAGTCTGTGACCCCAAAGCGACGAGGACGAAACTTTCGGTGCACAGCAATCAACGTGTGCCGCAACACTATTGCAAAAAGTCTGTTTCGTGCTGACGGCGGGCCTTACCATCTTTGCACTCCAGGCGCGGCCCGCTCGTACGCCCATCGGACTGCCCATTCGGGCGCGAGCACGGCCTACCAACGCACAGTCACCACCGCCGTGCCTTGTCTCCGTCGAGGCCAGCACCGCATGCAGCACCAGCCAGCCACTGACTATCGCACTGCACTTGTGCGACACCAACGTGCTCCCACACCAGCCCAGCACTTAGAGCAACAGCCTCACTCTGGCGCGAAATGTGCCTTCCTGCGCCGCCATCAACGCACGCCCCCCAAGGATAGGTCGCCCCTGCCCTGCGCCTCCACGGATGCCTCCAACGTTGCACCGAGCCGCCCTCCCTTTCGAACACAGGAGCGGCATAGGCCTACAGCGATCGAGGGGTCGAAATGCTCAGCATCATTGCGGCGATCGTTGCACTCCCAGCCCAAGTCAGTCTTGCCGGATTTGAGGGGCTGGACGATCAGGTGGGGGCTGAGCGTCTGCAGGCAGCCTTCCGCCCGCGCCGAAATTCACAGCCCTCCCGGGCCGACGGGGTGCTCCTTGGATCGGGCCCCGCTCCCCGCTTTTCCTGTACCTGGACTGTCCGGGTCAGGAGGGTGAGAGTATTGGGTGGGCAAGGGAAGTACATCTGGCGGGTGGCGATTGAGGGACAGCAAGTGGGTTGATTGGGGGGTCAATGGGCGCGCGGGTGGCGCTTTGTGGTCCTGGGCGAGCAGGGGCAGTGGTTAGGAGTCTTGGGCCTGGAGATGTGAGGATTGTCGAGATGTCATGCGAGAGCGGTAGGTGGGCGAAGGTAGCGCGGCTGGAGAGTGGTGTCCGAGGGACAATGATGAGTTGTCAGTTGGGGCGCGAGACGCGCGGGACAGTGTTGGAGGCGGCCAGTGAGATAGGGTTGGCTTTGAGCAGTGCAGCGAGTGTGTGGTCGAGCGTGGGAGCGGCGCGCGAGCACCGGATTTTTTTTGCTGTGCGAGTCGAGTTCGTGGCCGGTGCGCGGGAGATGAGTTGTCAGTTGGGGCGCGAGACGCGGCCGCGGGACAGTGTTGGAGGCGGCCAGTGAGGTAGGGTTGGCTTTGAGCAGTGCAGCGAGTGTGTGGTCGAGCGTGGGAGCGGCGCGCGAGCACCGGATTTTTTTGCTGTGCGAGTCGAGTTCGTGGCCGGTGCGCGGGAACCTGGCTGAAAACCCGCGCAGCCGGCCGGTTGTGCGACCGAGGTCGCCGATGGTACGACCGAGGTCGCAGAGCCTTGGCGACGCGACGCGCACGTCGCCAAGGAGTTCGTAAAATGTCCGAGGTTGTTCGTAAAACACCGTTCGCAAACAACAAAACAAAACAAAACTCTCTCTCTCTCCGTTCGCAGTCCTCCTACCTCCGGGAATGTACGTAAGAGCTACATACTCTAAAGTACACTGAAAATTCTGTTAGTGCCAGTGGCCCCGCCGAGGCGGTGCGGACTGCCGGAGGCCGCTCGGTCTCCCCTCTGCCCGTGCGACTTTCGCTAACTCCCTCGAGCGTACCCAGCGTAGATCGTCTCTCTTCGGCGCGCTCGAGCACGTTTGGCACCAAGAGGCTTTGATTCTTACGACCCTCACCAAAAAAATTCTTTTTCCTTCGCGGCAACGCGACGGCGGCAAGGCCTCTCTGCGCGCCCGCCCTCGTCACGCCGAAGACCAACCGGCGTCGGACCGCGGTGAGACCACGCCGCCCCCCGCGCCCGCCCGCGCCCGCAGCGTGAACACATACGCGCGTCCCTCATCGCACGGAAACATACGCGCCAGCCGCGCAGCAGCCTCACATGCAGCGCCGACCGCATGCTCGCGCCCTGGGCCGCCGACGACCCGGTCGGGCGGGTTGCGCGGCCGCCGCACACCACC